GAGGTCAGGCTGAGCTAAATAGTGAGTTCAATGTCAGCCTGGACTGCATAGCAAGACCTTGGCTTTAAAAAAGAAGAAACATTGGCAGTCCAGCCTGTGGTTCAATCCCCAGTACAGCCACCACAACCACTACCACTATACAAAAAATAAACTAAAAAGGCAGGCCTTTACATGAGGTTACTGGAAAATGACATACAGATCCCAAGGTGGAGGAACCTGAGAACAGGAAGGGCAGGCAATTGCGGTTTGCATACAGAAGGAGCAAGTGTACTTGCTGAAGATCTCAGGTGCTCCTCATTGTCTGGAAGCCTCCAGGGCCTGACCAGAAAGTCAGAGAAGAGTTTGTTTTCTGCTGTAACAACTGTGCATAAGAACACTAGGACCAAGAACAGTTAAAAAGATTGGAGATCTACCTATAGTTGAAGACTCTGCCTGTTGCATTTGGCATTACCTGCAACCACACCTCTTGTCTTCATGCATGGCTAACATAGCAAGCGCGTTGTAAAGAAGCACGTTTGCTTCCAGAAATGCAAAGCAAGTTGCAAAAGTGATGCCAGTGAAAAGGGCAGAATAAGAGACTTCAGGACTTTATTCCTCCAGAAAAGCAGTCAAAAACAATGAACTCTGATTACATGGGCATTTTCTCATTAAGGCAACAGACATGTATGAGAAACTTTATGGTTGGTTGGATACTGAAGGGTGAAAGACCAAAAGCCTTGGCTGTAAAATCACGAGGAAGGAAACAAATGCCTACACTGGTCACTTGCAGTAAACTTTGTACTGGAAGTTCTAGTCAAATAATTAGGCAAGAAATATACAGAAAAGTCATCAAAATTGGAAGGAAGAAGGAAAAAGGTCTTTGACGGTCAATTCTATGATCTCATACAAAGAAAATACTTAAAGATTAACAAATTAGTGCTAATAAACGAATGCAGCAAATATTGTAGGACAGGAAATGAACTTATAAAACTCAGACATAGAGCTGGACACAGTGTCTATGCCTATAATCTCAGCACCCAGGAAGCTGAATTCAAGGCCAACCTGAGCTGCAGAGGAAAACCTTGTTTCAAAAACAAACAAATACAAATCATTCTGATTTTTACAGGCATGCAGTAGCAACAAACAATCTGAAACCAATTCCATTTACATAGCATCAAAATTATGAGTATATTTAGGGCAGTATTCTGCTAAAGAGATAAAAGACTTGTATTTGAAAATTATAAAATATTACCAAAGGCATTGAAAGTGACTTAATTCAATTAAAAGGCACCTTGTGTTCATGAATTGGAAGACCCAGTATGATTAAGATGTCAGCCAAGTGTGGTGGCGCATACCTGAAATCCCAGCACTCAGGAGGCTGAGGTAGGAGGATTCCTGTGAGTTCAAGGCCAGCCTGAATTACATAGTGAGATCCTGTCTTTAAAAAAAAAAACTAAACCAAAGCAAACAAACCCCAAGAAGATGGCAGTACTAAAAAGGATGTACAGATTCAATGCAATCCCTTTCATTATCCCAATGATGACATTTGGAGAATTGAAGAGGATCCTAAATGTCCTTTGCAATTGCAACAGATGCAAATAGCCAAAACAGTGTCTTGTTTGTTTCAGACAAAGGCTCACTTTATAGTCCAGGATGACTTCAAACACTGGTTCCTTCTGCCTTAGCCTCCCCACTGCAAGAACTATATGGGTGTATTACTTACACCAGGCTCAAAACAGTTGTTGAGTAAGAAACACAAGGTTGAGGTCTCACACTTCCAGATTTCAAAACTTACTACCAGATCTATAGTAATTCTAGCAGTGCTCTACTCAGGAATAGTCATGGAGATCATTGGAATTTCTTCAGAGTCCAGAAATAAACCCATATGCTATGATCAGCTGGTTTTCATTAATGTTATTCAATGGAAGAATGAATAGACCTTTTCACAATTAATGCGGCAGCAATTGGTTAGTTACATACAAAACAATGCAGTGAGAACCCTGCCTCACGCCAGGTGCAAAAATGAACTCAAAATGTATCAAAGATCTAAACATAAAAGTTAGAAAGAAAATACAAGGGTAAATCTCAGATTTGGCAGTAGTTTTTTGGATATGCTACCAAAAGCAAAATCAATGGGAAAGAAATGAACTTCATCAGAATTCAAATATGTTTTGCAACAGTGGACATCATCAATGCATAAAGAGGCAGCTAGCCTAATAGAATATATTCCCAAAGCAATTACCTGAAAAACTTCTAATATCCAAAATACCTAAAAAAAAAACCCTCATCACTCAATAGAAAAAAGAGAACATAATTTCAAAAATAGACAATGGACTTAAACAGCGATTTCTCACAAGAAGTTATACAAATGACCAAAATCACATGCAAAGATTCTTTAATATTATTAATATACCCAAATATAAAACACCCACCTCATTTTAGCACTTCACATACAGTAAGTACACTGGGCACTGAAAATAGGGAAAAATCAAGTATTGGCAAAGAGTTGAAAAAACGAACCTTCCTACAGTGCTGGTTGGAATGCAACATTATGCAGCTGCTATGGAAAAGAGTTTGTGAATGCTCACAGCATTTAAATATAGAAGCATATGACATGGCAATGCCACTCATATAACCAAAAGAATTGAAAACAGGTACTAAAACAAATACTTTTACATATTGGTTTGTAATAGCGCTAGTAGAAATACCCAAAAGGAGGACAGAAGGTAAATGTCTTTGATGAGTCAATAATGATCATGTGATAAGTATATTCAGTCATTATTTTAAAGTGCACTACTGATGTAGCTTGCAAAATGAACGAACATCGAAAACATACTATGAGCCAGGGGTTCAGCTCAGCACCTGCCTGGCAAACACGAGGTCATGAGTTCAATCCCTGGTATAAAAACAAGAAAGAGAGAAAGAAAGAAAGAAAGAGAGAGAGAGAGAGAGAGAGAGAGAGAGAGAGAGAGAGAGAGAGAGAGAGAGAGGAAACACACTACGTAAAATAAACAACCACAAAAGCCCAAGTTTAGTGATGACTCCTTTTATATGACCCTCCCTCATATGGGTAACTCCATAGAGGGCAAAAGGGTGGCTGCTGGCAGCTGGGCAGGTCAGAGGGAAGGCGATGGGGAATTTCTACTTAATGGGTCCAAGACTCCCTTTTGTGGGAATTAAAATTATGCAATAGAGGAATATTCTGGCACAACATTATGAATGGTTTGAATGCCACTAAATTGCACACATTAAAATGGGTAATTTTATGTTACATGAATTTTACCTCTATTTTAAAAAGTGACAATATTTTTTAAACATGTCAGCCGTCTCGAGAAAATTATATTTGAAATGTATTCAAGTTGTAAGAACACTTGCATTAACAATTATGCTATGGTAAAATTTGAACGTTTCTTTATGAAGCTACCTATTATATATGCATCAAGGAAAGATAATACACGGCACAGACTTTTATTTTTCACTACTGAGGAATGAACTCAGAGCCTTTGCAGTGAGCTACGCATCCCCAGTCCTTTTATTTATTTATTTATTTAAATTTGTTTATTTGAGGCAGCATCTTAATAAGTCTCTTAGCAGCCCGGGCTAGGATCCAATTTTCCATCCTCCTGACTCAGGCTCCAAGAGTGCGGGGAATTAGAAGCCTGTGCTAAATTCCCAAGCCTCCTCTCCCCTCACCCCTGCCGCCCACCCCATCATACCCCCTGTCTGGCTCACCGATATTTAAAAAGTATTTATTTCTTCTCACTGTGATTAACCTTCCAAATACTTTTTATCTTATCATTTCATAAAGGGATAGAGTGAAATGCATAAAAAAAATCAAGCAGTAGAAAATATGCTTTGGTATGGATATGTCAATGGTGGAGTAAGGCCTGTGTAAAGTGGTAAATACATGTAACTATATCTAAAGAGACATGACGTGAGCTGTGCATAGGTACATCCATTTGGATGCACACACAAATTCAAAAACCGGTGTATTTGTGATCATAGTGTTACCCTGAGAATGTACTTGTATTTTTTGAATTTATACGAATTTAAACAGACATTAATGAAACATGGGAGCTGCATGTGAATGGTGACAATATCCATCTTTAAGTTCTCTCAGGGAACATCTCAGTCTACCTGAATATGAGGTGCCAATATTAAGCAATTCTTTCTGAAATTTGCTTTCTTTCTTTGTGGCCTTTAAAGACAATTTTAAAATCACTCCTGAGGCTGAGACAGGAAGACCACACTAAATTCCATACCAATTTGAAATACATAGGAAGTTAAGGTCAATATGGAATTCATAAAGTGACCCTGTCCTAAAAATTTTAAGAAAAAAAAATTTTAAGACCAAAATTTAAGTAAAACATGTTTTTCTTTTCAGTTTTGAGGACAGAAGCCCGGCTCTTTCTACTAAGCTATGTCCTTAGCCCCTTTAAAAAATAATTTTTATTTTAAGACAGTTTCTCCATAAGTTGCTGATTTGCGCAGGCTGGGCTTGAACTTATGATTCTCCAGCTTCAGCCTTGAGAGTGCTGGGATTACAAGCATTTGTATTCAACAGGGCTCTAAGATGGAACCTTGTGAAGAATTTAAAACTCTTTTTTTTTCTAGCATAAATGTATATTTATATAATATGTGAAATATAATTATATAATTATACATAGAGAGAGAAATGGTTTTTATGGATAAAAATGTTAAATGGGATCTTAATATTTTCTGATGAATACATCTATAAAAAGGTCTTTGCAAAGCAAATGTGTACTTTCTAAAGTCTAGGATTTCTAAATATTTTATGACAATATGAAAAACTTTCTGTGAATCAGAAGTGACAGTGTCCATTCTAAAACTCAATTAGTAACTAAAAATAATTCAAATTCAAATAATGTGGAGTTTTACTGTCTACTTAGAACTTTTTCGGTATGTATTGAAAGAATGGGAATAGATATACAAATAGTGATTAATACAAAACTTTATTTTTTTTACTTATTTTTTGTCTTTTTCCTTTTTATCGGTACCAGGGATTGAACTCACAACTGCCTGCTTGGAAGACAGGCGCTTATGCCACTGAGCTAAATCCCCAGCCCAATACAAAACTTTATGACTTCGCTTGTTTCTTGGTGAGCAACTTTATTATTTTCTGAATGCTTTCAAAGGTCCCAGTCCAATATAGCAACGAGAATATACACTGGTTCCTAAAACAAAAACATTAAGCGGCAAAGGAACTAGCGATAGGCTACTTAATAATGTGGGAAAATATCTGCACTCTAATGTTAAAGAATGAAATTATATCAAATTAAAAGGCTTTTGCACAACAAAGGAAACAACCTACAGAGTTTAAAGACAAAGTACAGAATGGGAAAAATCTGGCAGAGAGACTAACAACTCTAAAAATTAAGACCTCCCAAAATAAAAAATGGGCAACTGAAATGAAATATTTAAAAATAGGCAACTGAAATGAGCAGACACTTCCCAGAAATGCAGATGGCTAATAAATACGTGAAAAAATGTTTCAATATCTCTGGCCAATGAAGAAATGAAAATTAATACAATCCTGAGATACTACCTCGCTTCAGAAAGAATGGCTGTCATCAAGAAATCGAATACTAACAAATGCTGGTGAGGATGCCTAGGAAAAGAGAACTCTTCCACATTGTTGGTGGGACTATAAAGTAGTACAACCACTGAAAATCAGCATGGAGATTCCTCAGAAAACTAAAAATAGAAATTCCATTCAATCTAACTCTTTGTCTTTTAGTTATCATCCTCAGAGAGTTAAAGACATCACACATACACCCATGTTTACAGCAGTACAATTTGTAATACTTATATCATGGAAAAGATCTATATATCCATCAATAGTTAAATAGATAAAGAAAATAAGACCTATATATCCATCAATAGTTAAATAGATAAAGTGGAGTACTACTCAGTCATAAAGAAGGGTAAATTTGTGTCATTTGTAAAAAAATGAATGCACCTTGAGACCACAATGTTAAGTAAATCACACACACAATCCTAAATATTGCAGTGTTTCTTATGTGAAAAAACCCAAGTATAAGTAATATAAAGACCAAATATAATGGATAATAGGAAACAGGAGATAGATCTTTTGCTAAAGGAAAGTTGACAAAACTACAGAAGGATGGGAGGGCAGGGAAAATAAAAAGAAGATATGTTACATACATGTACCAACCCTCTCCATGTGTGAAATCATTATGTACAGCAAATAGAAACAAATAAACATTAAAATAAAAAATATAAACAAAGGTATGGATTGTGGGTGTGAAGTAGCATCTTATTGTGGTTTTAAATTTTTAATTTATTTTTGCATTTCCCTAATGGCTAATTATGTTGAGTATCTTTTGATGTACTTATTGGCCATTCTGATGTCTTCAGACAAATTTCTGTTCAACACTTTTGTCCACATTTTTCAATTGATTGTTTTTCAGTACTGAGTCATAAGTGTTCTTTATATTCTCAATACAAGTTGCTAACTATACCTGATTTACAAGCATTTTCTGCCATTCCATAGTAGCCTTTTTCTTTTTTCATGTTATTCACTACAACACAATTTTTTATTTTCTCAGAAGGCTGAAGTCAGAGTTTTGTAAGTTCTAGCCCAGCCTGGGTTAACTTAGACACTTAGAGAGACTCTATCTCTAAATAATAAAGAAATACATAAAATCTTATAAGCTGTTACTTGTGATCAAAGAGGATTTTTTAGCAATTCTACTGTAGCATAGAATTCATTCTTAGCCTCTTGAGAAAATATACTCTATTTGGATGTCACCATGACCAAGGTCAGAATGTAGACTAGAATTTGCCGGAATCAGAGAAGTGTGACAGGATGGTGACCAAGTGTCCTAGTGCTCAGATTTGTTCTTCTCCAAGTTCTTAGGTATAAACACATTTTTTGTCCTTCCTAGGCATGGATCCCCAACACTTGACCCTTCAATTTCAGAAGCCAATTTGAAACAAAGGGGCAGAATGCTGCAGGAAGAAAGTGGAAATGACAAGACTTGGGTCATGTGAATGTTGAGGTAATGTTGAGTGCAGAATGGTCTTGACTGGGTCTTGGGACAAACTGGACTTATACAAGATGTTTTCTTTTGTCCTACATGGATTTTAATACTCTAAAACTTTTCAGTTGAGTTTCTTTTACCCAGCATAGATTCTCCCTATGTGGTTCAGGCTGGCCTTGAGGGCACTATGCAGCCTAGGCTGTCCCTAGACTCCTGGAAATCCTCCTGACTCAGCCTCCTGAGTGCTGACATTACAGGCATGTGCCAGGATGCCTGGCTTGTAAGCCATTTCTTGAACTAAGATTACATTCATGAGAATCAATCTAGAATGAATATGTGCAATATAATTGTTGTTGCACACAAGGTTTATTGAGCTCCTGGAAATAAGTGATCTGTTTGCAATGAAACATAGGAAAATGGAATATTTATAACATGCATGCATTTTAAAATTACTTGTTTCCTATTTGTGGCATTAGCTATGACCTAGCTGAATTTTTCCCTTTAGTGGTACTGGAAATTGAACCCAGATTCTTCCAATGGAGCTACATTCCCAGCTTTTATTTTACATGAGCTTTATTTGGAGGCAGGTTCTCAGTACATTACTAAGTTGCCCAGGCTAGGCTTATACTTGACACCCAGCATGCTTCAAGCTGGGGGCACAGGCCTGTGTTACCAGGCCAGGCTGTCTGCACTTTTTTATGCATGGCTTCTGTACCTGGAAATACTACCAAGGAGGACATACAATTTTAAGAGATGCTAAAAAGAAGGGGAGAGTCTTTAAAAAATAATATTCAAAATAATATTTAGGAATTTTAAAAAGAATACCTAACATGTTTACAAAGCATTCCACCAGTAATAAATGCAGAATATGTATTTGAACATTGGATCTATAAAGGAATGGGAACTTTAAAAAGACTTTCTTTCCCTTTAGAAAAAGTTATTAGTACATGTTTGTAGTTCATGCAGTTTGTAATTATACTGTGGAGTGGTTACACATAGGTAAGTTGTTTTTTTAAGTCCCTTTCCTGTTCCCTCCCTGTCCTTCTTTCTTCCTCTGTCCCATGTCATTTTCCATTCCTGCTGATGTTAACCTTAGCTAATGTTATAGCATATAATATTTACATTAATTGAGGTTATTAGGCTCCTGCACATGGCATATCTTTTTTTTTGGTACCGGGAATCAAATTCATGACCTCGCGCTTGCCAGGCAGGTGCTTATGCCACTAAGCTAAATCCCTGGGCCATGGCATATCTTTAATCTACTTACCCCCCCCCCTTTTTTTTTCTCCTTGCCCTTGCATCTATTCCCTTGAACAAATTCCCTATTGCAAGAGATCCATCCTCCATCCCTTTCTATCTATCGTTTATTATTTTCTTTTTATCTTGTCTCATTCAGATGAGAGATACCATATGGCATTTAAGCTTGAGTGTCTAGTTTATTTCATTCAACATTATACATTCCAGGTGCATCCATTTTCCTATGAATTTCTTAAATCTGTCATTCTTTATAGCTCAGTAGTATTCTATTTTACACAGATACCCTATTTTCTTTATCCAATCAGCTGTTGATGGACTGTTTTCAGGACTTAGTTATTATGAATTGTGTTACTATAAACACTGGTATGCGTATGTCACTACAGTATGATGACATAAGCTCTTTGGGGAAGATACCTGGAGGGGGATTCTGGGTCTTGTGGAGTTTCTAATTTCAGTTCTTTGAGAAATCACCAAATTGATTTTCATAATGGTTATACTATTTTACATTCCCAAACCAATGAAGGAGGGTTCCTTTTTCACCACCATGGCTTCACCAACGTTTGTTATTGTTTGATTTTTTTTATAATTGCCACTTTTTCTGGAATAAGATTGAATCTCAACATTGCTTTGTGTTTCTCTAGTGACCAGAGATGTTGAGCAGTTTTTTATATATTTGTTGACCATTCGTTTTTCTCCCTCTGTCTGTTCATTTCTCTTACCTATTTCTTGATGGGGTTTGAATTTTAAGTGGTTTAACTTTTTCTTTAGTTCTTTGTATTTTCTAGAAATTCGTCCTCTGAGGAGCTGGCAAAACTTTTTTTCCCATTTGGCAAGTTGTCTTTTCACTCTAATGACTGCCTATTTTACTACACAGAAGCTTTGTAGTTAATATAATCCCATTTGTTGATTGCTACTGTTATTTTTTGTGCATTTGAAATAGTCCAAAAAGTTGTCTTCATACGTGATATATGTGTGCTTTTCTTCTTGGTCAGCAAGTATTGTTTTCTAAATAACTGGCAAACAGCATGTTTGATGAAATATTGCAAGTCTTACAACTCAAAGATAAAAAATATAACGAAGAGAAATAAGGTAGTGACAGTATGAAGCCAAAAAGTATTTAATGGTAAAGAATGTGCTTTACTCCAATTTCAAATGAAGAAACAACTAGATAAAACTGTGATAAAACTCTAGGAGTTCACAGACATGGAAGCTTAGGTGTAACGCGTCATGGACCACATTATGGCATACAGGGATATAAGCTGTGTGAGCATCCTCTTATCTCCTGACAAAGAGTTGCCAGCCATGAAAGCTGAGAAAATGGTGGTGGACTTTCTGGTTGTACAGGAGAAAAGACGGGTCAAAAACCACTTGGAAGTGTCTGTTGGTAGCTCAGTCTGATCTTTAGGTACAATTTTTTATTCCATTTGGACCTGGAACCTTCTTACCGTATGAAAAATACAGAAATGCTTAGTGATAATAAACAGAGGCTCCAGGTGGGCCTGCTATTAATTTCCTCCTCCTTTTTTTCCCCTCTCTTCTTCCTCTTTTTTTTTTTTAGGACATGGTCTCTATATATTCCAGGCTAGTCTTGAACTCAGGTAGCTCAGGCTAGCCTGCAACTTGCAGTGATCCTCCTGCCCCAGCCTCCAGGGCAAAGGGATTAAAGAGTGTACCACCATGTCAGGCTGAGATTTAAATTTCTGACAAGAGGGTTCCTGATGAAGAGGTGTCCATATAGGGTTCTGTTTGATTTCCTGTTAAAACACACAAAACCCAATAAAGCAAACGCACAGCATTTATCTCAGTTCACTAGGGTAAACAAAATATAAGGAAACATTGTTTTCTGGCACCTGTCTTTGGGTGGCGTTTTTTTCGGACAGGGAAGGCGGGAGAGGAGGACTGAAAGCCAGCCCTGAGTGGAGCACTACTGCCCTCGCGCGGACAGAGTTTCTGTCCACTCTGCACTGTGGCAGTTCCCTTCCCATGAGGTCTAGCTGGTGGAGAAAGAGCCTGCCTGTAGCGCACTGGGGAAGGCTTAGAGTCGGGAAAGGGCTTCCTTACCTCCTGATTAAGGCCCCAAGAACCACCTAGACATTGGCGCTACTTGGGTATAGAAGCTAGGTGGTGCCCAGGGGTCTGGGGTGGAGCAGAGGCTGCCAGAGCTGCCATCACAGGAAGTAGTGGGGCGGCACTCAGGTCCACCCCAGTGTGTATGGGACAGAGGGACCCTGTTCACAGGGTGGCTCTTGAAGGTACTTGCCACCCATTCTGCCCTTGGAGCAAGAGTTTGCAGGCCAGAGCTGGGTGTGGTGGCATGTTCCTGTAATCACAACACAGAATCAGGAGAATCATGAATTGTCAGCATATGCCTGTAGTGAGTTCAAGGCCAGTGTGGATTACAGGGAGAGAATCTGTGTCAAAACGGGGACCACAGCAAAACCAGAAGTTTGCAGACCAAGGTAGCACTATAATTGAGTGATGCAGTACTTGCCTGGCAAATGTGAGGCCCTGGCTTTAATCTACGTGAACTATACACAGGAGTTATAAAGTGACATTATAATCATGCTATCAAAATCAGTACTATTGAAGACATGAAGATAAAGATTTTTTCACATACAAGAATCATTGAATAAAATGAACAGTTCTCTCCAGAAACTGAAAGGCAAAAGGGGTTAGCATTTATATTTCTAAAACAAACAATTGCCTATCAATAATTCCCTATCCAGAAAGACTAACTTTCATAACTATAAGTTAAACTGAGAATTCCTAAATAAAGACTTCATTGAGTTTGTGATTAAGGTATCTCATACTGCAAACAGAAAGTTGAATCCTTTACAATAAAATGTGAAGGCATTAGACAATAACTGTCCATCCAAAAGAAAACACATACCTACAGAGAAGAAATATGTGGGATGATCTAAAAATTTAAACACTCACCACAGTAAAAACACATTGCCATTAATCATCCTCAAAAAAAGCAAAAACAAACAAAAACAATCCCTTGCTTTGCATACACATATCTGATCCTTCTCACCACTTTGGGAAACAGTTCTGGAAGTCCTCTTTCATGAGGGTCTTTATTTATTTGGACTATTGTGCCTGCCTGCATGTCCTGAATCTGTTGAAAATAATTACCTTCCATCATTATTTTAACTTGGAGAAAGAGACAGAAGTCTCATTTTATCAGATCCAGTGAATAAGGATGATGAGGACACACTGTGAAGTTCGTATTTAATGGAAATTACTAAATGGTGGATTAATAGTCATCAAAAATATAGTGAATGCTTAAATTTTAAAAATTTATTACAGGAAAACATACTGCCATTAATTTCCCTCAGAATGCCCCCTTCGCTTCAAACATGCTTATCCAGTATTCTTTGGAATGTGTTTTTTATAGAAGCTAATAAATTATGTAATCAAAATTACTATACAATTAGGCAGTTAACTGTATCAGCCATGAAGGAAAAACTTGAAATAGACTCAAAAAGAAATGGGAAGAACAACAAAATGGTATAGTGGAAAACAAAAAATAATAATCACAAAAGAAGATAGTAACTGAAGAATTGCGAAAATAGTAGAAATAAGTCCTTCTTTATCAGTAATTTAATTAAGTGGATTAAACTTTCCCATTTAAAGGCAGAAATTAGTGAAAGTTTAAATAAGCATGATCAAACTATATGCTTTTAACAGGAAAGTGATTTTAGATCCAGTTCATAAATGGTTAAAAGTAAAAGAATTTCAAAAGATAGTCTATGCATGCA